TATTTGGTTCCAAACTCCTCTGCCAGTAAAGATTTGAATTAAAAATGAAGCTCAGAAGACAAATTAAAAGGAAACAGAAGGTCTTCTGGATTCTGCAAGCTCTGGGCACTGAGGCTGGATGGATCTTTCAGCGTCTCATTTTATCAAGAATCAGAGACAACCATTATTAAAGAAGTCACTCATGGCAGACTGAAAGCTTTTTATAAGTATGACTTAACTAATAAAGTAGTGTATGTTTAGAAGGAATATAGTCTTGGGTAGCACTTAACTAAAACTAATTAAGGTTAGTAATTAACTTTGGAGAAGCTCAAAAGCAAAGGAAACAATTAAATGATCTTAGTCCAGAGGATGCAGCATTTTGAAAGTGTCTATGACTCACTTGAATGTCTCATGAGCTTTCTAGTAGAAACACTGGAAATCCAGGAGTCCAGATCCCTGCCTTGGCTTAACTCACAGGAATGCTGTCAGCATAAAAGAGATCAGAGATGTGAAGACATGTCAAACATTCAAAAAGAAAGGTGCTATAAGTATATATACCTAAGGTGTCATTAACATTATTACCATCGCCTGTTGTAGCAGGCCTTTTTTTTTTTTTTTTTGCAAGGACACTGCAGCCAAGTATCCAGCTGTAAAAAGCCTAAGAAGTAAAAACAAACAACCACAAACAAAACAATAAATCCCTTGGGTAAACTGAAGAGTACCTGAGCCAAGCATCCTTTCATCTGTGTGGGAGCTCTGCCCATTTGAAGGCTAGAAAATGCCAAGCACAGAGCTAGGAGCAATGCTATCATGGGTCCAAATCACTGTACTCGCTCTGCTGCAGGAAGTGGGGATGGAGGGGTGGGTGCATGAGTGTGGGTGTGTTTTTGCCTGTGAAGTACCATTTCTTAACCTCTTCTGGTATTCATAAAATGAGGCAGAGTCCTGACCTGGAAGGATGAAATCTTGCTGTGCATTGCAAGTCAGTCCTGCCAATGGGGCTTCTGGTGATAATTTCACATCAATACCAGGGATCAGAGCAGTCAACTGCCAGGCCAGTGTCTGTCTGTAACTGGGTTTCTCTAAAAATAGATGACACAGACAAGTCTTTGTAGGAGGTATCTTCAGAGGTGATCCCAGGGACTGAGGGTGAGAACCAGAGAGTGCTACATGGGGAAAAGGAAAAGCCAGGCATAGATGCCTTAGGGAGATGGCTCTTGCTGCAGTCAAATGGACCATCTTAGGATATAGACTGTGTCTCAGAATTGCTCACATCAAAACCATAGCCTCAAGTTACGTTCATCTGTGAACTCTCATTCCTTTTTGTTGAGGTTGTAGAGGTTGCCCTGCTGGCTACTGAAAGTAAACTTTGCAGGCTTCCTTCCACATGGTTTCTAAGATTCCCAGCTAGAGTGATCCATTTCTTTTAACTTATCCAGTTTGTTGGCATGCAATTGTTCAGAGAAATCTCTTCGTATCCTCATTTTTATTTGTATAGATTGTGGCTTCTCTTTCCTACCTAGTTTTGTTCATTGAATAGCTTCTCTTTTTTCTCTTGGCCAAGCTAAAGTTTGCTCCTCTTTAAAATCCATTTTCAAACCTCAACTCTAAGGGATGTGGATATAGCGCAGTGGTAGAACACCTGCTCAGCATGCACAAGGTCATGAGCTCAGCAGCAGAAGGCAAACAAAACAAAACAAACACCCTCAGGTGGTAGCTTCATAGCTTATTGATTCATTTCTTCTCTAATCTTTGCTTCTGTGTTAGCACAACTCTTCTGCTAACCTGGGGCTTAGTCTGTTGTTTTTCTAAGGTAAAGGCCTAAGATTGAGTTGTTTGTGATTTTTCTTACTTTTCAATGCAGGTGTTTATTACTTCACTGACTCAGAGAGGCAGAGAGTGGAGTAATGGTCAACACGGCTGGGAAAGAGTTGCGCAATGAGTATAAAGCTTAGTTGAGTGTAGTGAATTAGTTCTCATCATCTGCTGTACGATGTGGTGCCTGGAGTTAAGAATGCAATATTGAGCACTTGAAGGGCTTCACAGGACGGATCTTATGTTAGATGTTCTTACTATGAAAACAAACACCAAAACAAAAAGAATAAAAGTGAACTTTTAGAGGTTTATATAGGTTTATGTCTTAGCTATGGCAGGAGATTTTGAAGCGTGTACATATGTCCAAACTCATAACTTTATGTAACTAGGAGTGTGTTTTTATACAAATACATTCCATAAAGCTATTTAGGAAAAAAAAAAAAAAAAGAAGAAGAAGGTGGACAAAGTGACAACACAGAATCCCAGGGACTTACCACAAGCTCTTCAAGATGCTGTTAACAGAAGGAACTCACAGAGCCTGGGCTAATGCACTAGGCTGAGTTGGGGGCGAGGGCAGCAGGACCCAGGATGCCCAGGACCTGAGGTGATGCCCAGGAGTCTGACATTCCAAATCGTCCTCAGCCTGCTCTTGTCTAATTGACTTATCTTAATCTAATAGACGAATTGACATTTATTTCTCTTAAATTTCATCTTATTGATTTTTGCTCAGCAATTTTCCCCAGAGAATATTTCAAATATTCTGCTTCTTTCACTTGTAATTGCACAAACCCTGGCCAATTTTGCCTGCCCAGTTAGGAGGTTTGTAGCCTTGCCTGTGGAGTCAGCAACCTGGATTCACATATCAGCTCCAAAGCTAACCAGCAATGTGACTTCAGGCAAATTGTTTCCCTTTTCCTGTCTATATAAGTTGAGGATAATTACTATCTAGTCATAGGCAGAGGTACATGGGATTTTTTCCCTAAAGATCAAATAAAACAGTGTGGTTAACCAATTAGCCCAATATATGGGTTATTCAAAATGAGTACTTAGTAAATATTTTTAAGTCTGAAGAGTATAACTTTATATCTTCATCTAAGTCATTGGTAAAATATGGAACAGGAAAGGTTCAAATGAAGAACCAAACGCAACTTTCTGAATTTTTCCTCTAGGTTAACGTCAATCCAAGTGGTTACAAAATCCCAGTGTTGAGAGCCCAATCACTGATCTCATATTGAATTCATCACAAGTTGATCCACATCAACTGCTTCAGTGAGTTAAAGTGACACACTGTGGAACAGTAGTGCTGCCCTAAGTGTGATTCATGGACCAGCTGGTCCATGAGCTACTGAAATATATTTATATCTGTGTCTGGATCTGTATTTATATCTCTATCTGTCTATCTATCTATATACATATACAGGAGAGAGACTGAGAATTAAAAAGGCACAAATTTTCATAGCAATATGATATAATTGATATCATGAATGGCTAGTTAATGGACTTATTTCACTGACAGTACTATGTAAACCAGATCAGGGAGTATGGAGCTCACAGTGTTAGTTCTATATAATAAGTATGACTATGCAAAAATAAAAATATATAAATACAGAATCCTTGTATATTCAAAAATTTAAGGCCGAGGATGCAGCTCAGTGGCACAGTGCCTGCCTGGCAAGTGCGAGGTCCTGAATCCAATTACTGGTACCAAGAAAATAATAATAATTTAAACTTACGTATAACTTTATAGAATAAATTGTTGGAACTTCTTCTTTAAAAAAATTGAAACACTTTTGCAAAAGCATCACTAGTTTTACTGTTAAAAAAAAATAAATACATGTCCTGTTTTCTCCTTGTTCCCATGAATATCTCTGGAAAACTAATTTCTTTATTTTAATGAAATAGAAACATGGAGGTAGTTTTAATATATATTATCCCATTTGAATAGTATTGTCATCAATCTAACCTAGATTAGAAATGTTAACAACCAAGAAGCAAGCTCTTCACCATGTTACAATTAAATATTGACATATAAATTGTTTGTTGAAAGTATGTGTATATGGTAGTTTAATATGAAAAATTTATTTGCTCATGATTTTGTTTTATGATTACAAGGATTTTTTTAGGGGGGCGCTGGCTCAAGATGCCTGGAGGGCAGGTCTGGGAAAGCATGAGGATCTGGGGATCGAATCACAGTATCCTGTGTCTGACTGCATTTGCATAAGCAGGCACTTAACTGAGCTAACTGGCAGCCCACCCTGTTTTATGATTACAGATTTGGAGAGATTATACAATACATTTCTCTATTTGTCTCTACAAATGTCTTCAACGGATAATCTGTGTAACTCTAAAATTTTTATTTCTTTCTCCTATATTACGCTTGGTGACATTATTAAAAGACAATATTATGTCTATTGATTCTAAATTAAAAGGGAATGTATGTCTTTTTAACAAAATATGGTACTTCTTTTGGTTTTACAGATTTGTCAATTTCCTTAAGTTTTTTTTTTTGTGTGTGTGTTTTCAAAATGGATAGTTTCGGAAGTATTACTCTATGATATTCACTTGATGCACCAACTCATTAAAGATGAGTAATTCTTATAAAACTAATATAATCCTTCTAAGATGCCATCACTATAAAAACTATAATTCTGTCACACAAGACATAAGTAGGGATGAATTATTGCTTATCAACTGCTTTGAAGATAGATTTTAAAAATAACCAGTTTTCACACTTATAAGGTGTGCCATGTCATCCGTAATCGCAGGTGTGAGAAGTGGAAGACATCACAGAAAATCCCACCTTCAGATTACAGCAGACCCGTCCCTACTACTGCCAGAGAAGACAAGAGAGCTTGGACATGGGGTGGCAGGAGTACAGAAACACACACAGGTCTTTATTCTAGTTTAATTTCTTGGTATAATTTTTCTTGCTGATCCTGTAAAATAGACAATGTGGCCGGGCCAACCAGGCATCTACAACATGGGGAAAAAAGTGGCAAGTCATGAGCCAATATTTATCAGTCCTGGAATATACTTATATCCTGGAATTATCAAGACTTAAAAAAGATAAATTAAAAATAGAAAAGGAAGTCAATAATAAACTATTTCATTTTAGGGTAAAAATTGATAAATATATCCATGTTTTAAAAATATTTTTATTGAGCTGTAATTCAAATAAGACATGAAGTGTACAGTTTGGTAGCTTCTTTCATATTCACAAAATTGTACAATCATCACAATTTAAATTTAGAACATTTCAATACATTCATTTTTTATAAACATTAAGCACACACATAGGCTGCCTTATTGAACAAACACTAGCTGTATAGCCACTTCAGAAGAATTCATGCAAGGGGCTGAGCCTCCTGTTCTGAGTGGACAGCCCACAGAGGGCCTTACCTTCTCTCAGAGGGTTCAGGCGTACACTGCTTTCCTACTTTGCCAAGACTCTGCCCATTGTGGGTGATACTGGGAACTCCCCCCCAGGCAGGTTCAGGCAGTAGCTGTGCCTCCTCAGCCTGCTCAGTGGTACTGGGGCTTCTTGGTACTGGGGCTTCTAGTTGTAGCTCCTAGCACCTTTGTGAGGTGGCCATAGAACATCATAAAATGATTTTACCTCCCAGTTACCCAGCTTAGGTTCCAATGGGACGACCACAGAGATCCACACATGCCTACTTCTTTTCTCTTACTTTGAGTCACAAATTCCTTGAACCACTTCCTGCTTCCAAATGTAGTTTGTCCTCTGATCTCTCCCCCATCCTACAATTTTCACCCTTTGACTCCTTAGGAAATCTAATTACCACTCTTGGAATCCATCTGGGATAACTGTTTTTTGATGAATTGTTTTTATTTTAGTGGCTAGATATTGAGCCAAAGAAGTATTTTCCTAAATGCAAATAACATATTCTTCTCCAAGGGCTCCACTCCAGAGCATCCCAGCCACCAACCACAGTCCATGTGGAACTCTTCCTGGATTTAAACAATAACTGTGTTCATCTGGAGAGGGAAGAAAATGAGAATGTTATTTTATTGGAAAACCCAAATGACTTAAAAATAAATACAGGGAAAATATAGCTCCCTAAAGTAAACTTCACTGTGAAAAGGCAAACACCATAAAAATGTGGTCTCTGTTTCAGGTATTCTGGAAACAAACTCACTTTCAGGGCTTGGGGAGTAGTCCAAGAACAGACAAAATTAAGGGAGCAGTCCTGTGTTTGAAGGCAGACAATGCTTTCCTTTCTCCCTCAAGTAACCTTTTCTATCCTTTAGAAGGCTTAAGGCTTGCATTTTTAATTCTACAAACAGGACAGTGGCTTCACTAACAAGTATTTAAATAATTTAGCATTTGCAAACATTAGACAAAAAGAAAACCACACTGGTTTGCCCTCCCGTGGTCTGTAAGGAAACTGACAGTACAAGCAAATTGTCTCTGTAAACAACATAAAATGTGAGCTGATCAAAGCTCTCCTACAATTTTGAGCTCTCAGCCCCAGCTCATGCTGTCCCTCCATGCACATATAAGGACAATGTTCCAGTGCAGGGACATTTGGTGAGCAGCTAGCAGCTATGCCACAGCCTGAAGATGCAACGCTGCACAAAGAGCATGGCTCTAGGGGTGTTCAGGGTAGAGGAAGAAACATTCCCATGGGAAGTGCCATCTATGGCATCTTCCCAGCATTCCTACGAATGAAACAATTTCAGCTTCACTTCTCAATCCTTGCACCAGTAAACACCAACACAGAATCCAAACCCAGTTCTCTGCTGCACCTGATAGAGGATCCCCAAACTTAAGAAATGGCCAAAATAGAAATGTTGCCTCCACACATTCAAAAGGAATTTTTCTTTTTTTTTTTTCAAAAGGAATTTTTCAACAATAAAGGAATTCAATTGCATATTTTCTAAACAGGAGCAAGCTGGCGATTTTTGTCCCTTTTCTAAGATGTTGGCATCTGCGTCTGTTTTGAATGCTAAGGTTTTCATTAGGAAACGTAGAACGTATACAACTCTTCTCCATTATTAATGCATATTGTCTTTTGAGTGATGAATTCAGACAAGTAAAGTATTTCTGTCTTTATTTTCCATCACACTTGGTCATAAATCCTGCAACTTGCAAGTGATAGTGTGGTTTGGCTTCATGTTCTTGTGCTGACTGGGGCTCTCAATGCTCATGGCTCCAGTTTTATTGTGTTGGGAAGACAGGCAACTCTTCCAAGTTGCTGATGGAGATGCTGGCGGTGGCCCAGCTCTCTTGGGTGATGATATGTGGATTATTTACTTTAAGGGTCTGCTTTCCACTGGCTGGCCATTTCCCTCACACAGTGTGTCCATCCTTTGCAAGACCATGGGAAAAGTAGAAATATTCTTCCTTTCTCTACCTACCAGTTAATGGGAGGGTAAGAATGGGAAGGGAAAAAAAAAAAAAAAAGAATGGGAGGGGTGGGAATGAGTATGTTGGGTTTGAAAGTATAACAGAAAATAATTGAGTTACTTTAAACATATTTACACTAATTCAATCCCATCTCCCTCTGTTCTCTCCTTTCTCCAGTCCACATGCATTTGTTAAATAGCATATATGAGGGGCTGAGGAGATAGCTCAATGGAATAAGTGCTTGCCTGTCAAGCGCAAGGTCCAGAGCTCAATCACTGGTACTACCAGAAGAAAAGGAGGAGGAGGAAGACGAGGAGGAGGAGAAGGAGGAAATTTGTGGAAGCCAGGAAAATAGCTCAGTGGCATAAGTGCCAGGCTGGTAAACACAAGGTTCTGAGTTCAATCCCAAGCACTCCCACCCCCCCCAAAAGAGAAGAAATTTGAGGAAGAAGGTCAGCTTTGATGGTATATGTGTCAAAAGTAACACTAGTGGCTGTAACAATAACCTTGAAAATGTCAGAGGCAGTGCAACAGAAGCATCTTGTTCACCCAGGTACCAGTCCCAAGCAGATGTTCCTTAACTGGGGATGGTTTTTCTCCACATGGTGATGAAGGACTCAGACTTCTCTCTTGGGGTTTGGCCTGTCTGCCTTCAGCATCATTCATGACTCTCAGAGGTACTGGACAGGGCACAACCACTTCCCTGAAACTGTCTTTCTGTTCTTTTTCCATAGGCGAGCACTTGCCACGTGACCCCATTTCAGGCAGGGTTAGAGAAGCAGTCTCTAACTAGGCAGCTGCATTCCTGGGGTGGAAGAAATGACAAAACGCATAGTGGATGTTGAACCACAGACAGGTGGCATCGGAGATAAACAAGAACAAGGACAAAGAAATTTGGGAATCTAAGTCTGGGCTAAAGCAGGTCTAACATATTTTTCAAGTAAGAAAACATGATACTGTTTATGCCACTTTTCATTTTCAAATCTTCCATCGCAGTGAGTGTGCTCATTTCCTTTATTTTCTTGAAAGGATCATAAAAATTAAATCTAAGACAAATGCAATTCTTTAGAGAGCAGGTTTGCTTGCCCTTTAAGGCACCTAATTTACAAAGCTCCCTTTAATGGTGCCTTCTTCCTGTCAGGGAAATGAGCCACCACCTTGGCCATCAGGTTTGTGAGCTTTTTTTGCCCAAATCCCGTCCATCTTTCTTGTAGCCTCAGTGAGCACAGTTTCTTTGCATCCTAATGTGGAGGGGGGATTAAAAGGAAAGGAAAATTTCCTTAATTCAATAGTGAAACTTTCCAGTTGTGAAGCACTTTGAAATACAAACTAATTAATAAACACAACTCCCTTCTGAAGCAGTGAGGACTCCTTCTCATTTTTCACAGCTGAGGAGCTGCAGTTAGAGTAAGTTGCCCCAGGCTGTGCACCTCGTCTGGAGAACAACTTTGAAGCACTGCTTCTGAGTTCTCCCAGGATGGCATGCTGCTTCTCTGGAGAGTAATCGGCTTTTATGCAGGTAGTAGCTAATGGTGACTTCTTCAACAACTCCACAGTGCCCCTGGCACCGGCTGGGCAATTAGTAATGTTCTTGTCACCAACTCTGAGTAACCCACTAAGGAGAATGAAGAAAAAGTGGCTCACTGGATGGCCCTATTGCTCACAAACACTTTTAAAGATTGAAGAAATATTATGCAATCAAAAGAGCTGTGTTAACCTGGGAATCAGAAAGATGAGAAATAATTGTTCACATGCTCACAGCGCGAGGGCCTGGGAGCCACAGTTATTATTGAGATGCTGAGAACCAGAGATTGTTGCTCCCAACAGTGATCATTAGTGGATCTTTCATCCTAATGCCGCCATTTTTTTGTCTTGATTCAGTAATGCTAATATGCTACAGACAAACAGTTGTGCAGCTGTTTCAGTAAGAAAAAAAAAAAAAAACTCCTATAGATGACATTATATGTAATGGTCTGACTTGACCATGACATCTTTTGGAGTGGAATAATTGGTTCTCAATTGTTTCATAATAGCATAATCACAAATTAACACCAATGGCTATGGAGCCTGTAGCTAACCTGTGAAGCCCAAAATAGTTTCAGTGTACCCTCAGTTACAATATTTATTTTTCCAGGACTATATCATAGTTTAGTTATGAGATATAGGGCCTGTCATTATAAACACTGTTGGCTGTCAGGTATAAGAGAAATACCCAAACCAGAACATAGATCTTTATAGATTCTTTGTTTCTCTCTTCTTGAAGTCTGTGCTACTTATGTAGTGGGGGATTAATAGCCATGAATAAATCCATCCAGGACACTCTATGCTTATTTTATTGGTGAGCATAGTGACATCGTATGCTGATGTTATAAAACAGCTCTGTTCAACATGAGAGTCCATGGCCACATGTGGCTACTGATCACTGCAAGGTGACGAATGCAAATCAAAATATGCTCCTCTTATAAAATATGTACCATACTTTGAGGGCTATATGAAATAAGGTTATAAAATATTTTATTTATATATTGTTTACAAGTTGAAATATTAATATCTGGGAAGTAGTAGGATAAATACTAAATATTGTTAAAATTAATGCTATCTGTGTTTGTCTTTTTATTATTTGGTTAATGGAATATTTAAAATCCTTTCTTTGGACCACATATTCCTACTGGGAGATGCTGTCATAGAATGTTAATTATTTAGAAGTTTCCTAAATATGAAGGTATACCCAAACTACTCTGAACCCCCAAATCTCAGCTGTTAGCAATACCTTCTTTTAGAATGAACAGGAAGACAAATATCAAATGGAAGAATGTTTTCTGATTTGTGAGCTTATCTTTATAGTTGTATTTTTGAGTATTTGAAAATATTTTTTAAATTTAATTTTTATTTATTTTTTTTTGGCGGAACCAGGGATTGAACTCAGGCCCTTGAGCTTGCCAGGCAAGTGCTTATTCCACTGAGCCATCTCGCCGGCCCCTGAAAATATGTTAAAGAAATATTTTTCTTAGCTTTCTCCTTTGCCTGACCCCTACATGTCCTTCAAGACAGGCCGCACCACTGCCTCCTGGAAGCCTCCCTTCAGGCTGCATCCCTCTGCCCGTCCCCACCTGGGCCTGGAGCTGGACGAGGTGATCTGCTCTGTGTTTCCAGAGCTCCGTTATAATCACCAGTTCACTTGTTTGTCTATTTGTTTTTTGAAGGTATTTGGTTGTTGCAGGGTCTCACTATGCAGCCTGGACTCATGGTGATCCTCCTGCTTTCAGCCTCCCCAGTGCTGGGATCATAAGCATGTGCCACCACGCCCAGACTCTGGCTGGCTCAGCCCTCCTGGTGGCTGGGCTGGTGTGGCACGTGGTGCCAGGGGTCGACTCTCAGTCCCCGCACTTTGCCTAAGCAGGCGCTTTGGTCCACTGAGCTATCTCACCGGCCCCACCAGTTCACTTGTACATTTGGTCCATGTCCTGTAAGTTCCTTATGGCCAGGGACTGTTTTAGTTTTACATTTCCCATATCTGGCCCAGTGCTGGAAATATTTCATAGTCATTTGCTGAATGATTACTTAACTGAAGACTGCATGAGTTCACGCTGCTATTGCAGAAATATTAATAATTATAGTTTACACTGAT